CACAAACTGGTGACCATGGGATGGCAGCAACACTTTCTACAAGAATGATTTGGTTTATCACTACAGCAACAGTCAATCAATATAGTTAAAGACTTTTACTTTGAAAGAGCATAACCTCCTTGTCCAAACGTTAATTGATTTAAACAATTGGTGCTTTAAAGCTGAAACAATTAGATCCCTAAAATTCAAACCGCTTTTCAGACTAAATAGTTGTTTTTAAGTTTCAAAATTTGTTTTTCAGATTCATTCTTTCTTTTTTGGAACAACCTTTAATTTAGCTCCATACAAACTATTGTCAGAATCCAATTAATTTGTCATCAATGTCAAAGTTTTACAGTGTTAATGTTGTAACCAACCTGCTGATAATATAGCAAAAAGAAAACAGATTATACTAATTTTTTTGTTGAATTAACATTAGAAATCCCAAACTAAACATAGTACAGCTGCTATTTCAGCATTCAATGAACTGAATATCATGTCCAGGCGGGGCTTGGCCCCCAGAGCTGCAGGATCCTAAAGACGCCCCTGTCATTAAGCTGTAATAATGAACAACAATACATAATATAATGATATCATCACAATAACATGCAACACGAAACTAATAGGAAGTGAAAATACAAAAAGAAGCTGATTATTAATGTTTAATTAAAGTTAGACTGAAATAAAAACTTGAAGGTGTTTAAAAACATAAAGTATATATTTAATAAATTATGGTTATTGTTGTCAAATAAGCTAGCAACTGATCAAATATGAAGCTATACACCTGCACACAGTCACCAAACATCAATTTTTAAACAACATATCAAACATAAAGCGTTTAAAACACAAAATAAACCTACCGGAATGAATTCAACCCTGGTTTTAATCCTTTAATCAGCCAGAAACAGGAGAAATCACCGGTTCCCGGGTCCACGGTCCGCGTTTTCCTGCCAAAGTCTCCAACGGTCTGACTCCGAGCTGCCAGCGCGTGCGGAGAAAAGCTGACAGCGGAGGCGACTGCGCATGCGCGCTGCCTCAGGTGGAGGGAACCCCGCTCTCTCTCCTTCTCTCTCTCTCTCTGTCGCTCTGCCGGACCCGCCCACCCGTGGGTGTTCGGTCCAGATAAGCTTCGTTCCTGGAAGAAAACACATGAACAAAAAACTAAATTGTTTGTAATCAACAGAAAGAGGAGGAAATTAAGTATTAAGCTGTTAAACACAACAGTTACTGAAGAAAATGCAAAAGTTGCTATTTTAGGAACTAAATGAAGAAAGAACATATTACTAAAGTAAAAGTCAAAAGTAGAGTGCAGTAAAAGTACTTTTGACAAAAGTATCCTCATGCTGATATGCATGTAGTGACAGCAAAAAGAAAACTTTCCTTTTAACAGGAAGAAACTCCCAACAGAACCAGAGCCTGGTTCAGCGTGATCCACTGATCCAGGAGCACTTTCTACCTTTTTGAGCCATGTCAGCTCAGAACATGGTATTAGCTATCTGTTTGTCTAAAAGCTTGGCACATTAATGTAAATGGTTAAAAAACAACAAAAACATTTGAAGTGTTAACATTCTTTGGCAGCTTCATAAACTCTTTCTTTGAGTCCATTTAGAGACTTTGAACAGAACTTTCTCAATAATGAGGCGCTCTTTGTAAAGCTCCATTCTCAGACTGAGCTGTTGAAGGAAATGAGGCTGCATGCAGAGCATTCAGACTCAAACTGACAAACAGTCGCGCCGCTTGTTGTTGCCAGGTGGATAATCGTGTTTCTAAAGCAGCACAGGCTCAAACAGACCAAACCCTCACATAATATCACTGCATTCATCTCCCGAATAAAGGAGGACAAACTCTACGGCACGCTGATGTCATTTTATTGTTCAAACCCTGAATTAAATTAAAACAAACTGCTGTAATCCAAAGGCGTTTTTTGTTTGGCTGTTTTTGATGGACATTTATAAAAACCCTCCAATATCAGTTTTTCATTTTTAGATTCTGCTTTGCTGATCACAGCGATGACTCACAGGAATCCTCTTTTATCCCAAGCTTTAAAACAAAGAAACAAAGAGGATGCTGTGATTATTTGTGGCTTATAATTATAATTAGATGTTTTTTCATGGAAAACATGGACCAGGGCTTGAATAATAATGTAAGGTACCGCCATTTTGAAACCCAGTCTGTGTTTATAGGAACCTCGTTTCCTCGCTGTGACGCCCCAAGGTGACCTGGAGAGGAAAGGTGGGTACATATTTAAACATTTATTATTAAAATGTACTTATAAAGACTTCTTTTGATTTTTAGAAGCACTTTATTACCAACACACCGTTTAAAGAACATAATGTTCACTAAATTGAGATTAAACCTGAAATAGTTGCAAAAACAAGATCTTGCAAATTATTTTTGGTCAGAAAACAAAATTATTTTCAGATCCATAAAACATTTTTAAGGTAAACCACACCCCTGGAAGTACCTTTCATTTAGTCTCATTTTATCACCCAGTGAGTGAAAACATGATTCAAACTTCACATATTATACAATATATTCACATCTAAAGCAGCAATCAAAGATGTTTGATCCAAAACATTTCAAATGTCCAAAATGTAGGGATTGTTTTATAAAGTAGATTTTCCTTTTCCTTAAAGTTTTCTTCACAGATCAGCCTCTAGACTGTGAAAGTGAAAGAAGAAGACGAAGGTGAAATCCGAATTATGAGAGTGGAAACCACCTAAAAACCAATGGGTTGAACAAATCATGTTAACATCAAATCCACAGAAACATGTCAGTAATTAGTTGGTGTATTTCACAGGCTCAACATGCAACTTTCTATCAATAATAGACAAAAAAAAATCGTACATTTTTCCAGACTTTAACCTCAGTGAATCTTTCTAGATAAAGGTAGCCATGATCATTTGTTTGAAGTGAGAAGATGAAACGCTGACACATCCTGACTCCAGTGGAGAAATCCCAGTAAAATCCCATCAATGTCTCTGCTATTGATGCAGGAAAACTGGAAATAAATCCAGAACTTCACCCAGAGGAGAAAAATCCCAAACAGCTGAGAAATAATTAAACTTAAAAAAAGTCAAAGAAACTGAGGAAATAATGCTGCATTAACGTCTTACTATGTGTTTCAATAAGCAGATTTGAAGAAAAGATAAAAAGTTTTCACCCTTTGCTCAGAGTGTCAATTTATTTTAATTAATTTCCTGCAGATTCTAACATATTTTTCACGTAATCTTATGAAAATGTCATTTTGCTTCATAATGAACTTTTATGAAGAGTTAAAAATAAAAAAAAAAACAATAAATTCCGCTTCAATTTAAAATTAAATAATGCTGAAACAAGAATATAAACTGATTAAATCAAACATCAAAATAATAGTTTGGGAGTCACAAAATAAAATTTTATTGCCTGAAAATATAAGAATTTAAATCTGGAAGGTTTCCTGTCATATTCTAAAATAAAACAAATTTATCTCATCAAAGAGTCGTTTATTCAAGGCAGCTGTTTGTTAGATATTGGCAGCTTAAACAGAACTAAAGTCAGGACTTTATTGCACACAAGGATCCACAGTATTTGCATAGTTTGGCTTGAAGGACAGAAAAAAAGAAATACATTCATAGGTACAAGAGCAAACAAACAGAAAAGTCATAGCAAACACATAAAGCACATTTATGTCATGTCTTTTAGAAGAGACATTTTGGTCCATATTTGCTCCCAACTTAAAGATTTGGTGTTGAAGAATATCTCAAATAACGGCTCTGAAACCGTCAAATGAAACAAATACTTCACTTTTTCCCTCCTGGAAATAAACTGGGATTTTACAGATTAAACTGAATAAAGTGCAGAAAGCTGTAAAGAATCTGGACGAAGACCAAGCTGAGATTAAAACATTAAAACATGGTCGGTCTGTGCAGAGTCCTGGAGGAGATTTTGTGGGATTATAAGAAAACACTAAGGATTCATTATGAAGGAGCTGTCTTGGTGTGAGGTAGCTGACCATTGTTTGGGAGGAACATATTGGGGACATAATGATGTTTTATGGAGCGTTAGAAATCCACAAGGGTTTTAACATGGGCAAACCTTCCTTAGGTTTGATTTTATTGAATTTGAGGCTTCATTCTGGATATGAAAGCAGTTTCCATTGAGCGGTACGGTACGGACCGGTTTGGTCGGCTGATTTATGGTCCAGAACATTTCAGTTTGACTGAATTAAACCCAAACGACTAACGTCTTACTAGTGTGACGACTATCTGTTGTCTTTGTCGCAATCAGCAACATTGTTTTTTGTCCTCCAATCAATGGAGCCTGTTGTGTGACGCCAGCAGCTTCACCCTAATGACCTCCAGGAGGAGCAGATCGGTGCGGTTTGGGTCGGTCATAGCAGCAGTCTGGGGAGTACTGAAGGCCGATCCGGCCATGTTTGTCATAAATCAGGGTCTCCGTCCAGTGAAGGCGTCTTTAACCACCGCTAAGGAAAGACAAAGTAGAAACTTTCCCATATTTAGTTAGTTGGTGTTATATTGACTCTTACAAGAGAGAAAAATTTTACTAAAATTTAAAACGGCTCAACCTGCTGCTGATGCAAAGCTACAAAGACTTGAACATCATCAGCATACAGTGATCTTCTGTTTCCCTTTTTGGCTTGCAGACAATAAGTTGTCAGTTTATTATTAAACCTCACAAATAAGAATAAAATAAATTGCTGTTGGAATTAAAGTTGTGCTTGAAGAGTCGCTAAATAAATATAAAAATGTTTGGCCTAAAAGTGAAACGTCATTTGAAGGAAACAGCATTTTCATCCCACCGTCTTTAAGAAGGTGAACAAACACAAACATTTAGTTCAAGATTAAACCATCATTGGAAGATTTTCAGCAACATTTCAATTAGATGCTAGAAGAAGAAAGAGATTAAAGATTTGCTGAAGTGCCAACAGAAAGCTAATTAATCAATTGAAACATAAAGCTAAACTTTAACAAAGAAGAAGACGAATACATCAACACGAATACAAAAATTTTAGTCTTTGCGCTGAATAAGCCAGAGATATGGCTTGATCCAAATTACTGCTGGTGAAGGTTTTAAATATGCAGTTTGTTGATATTTTACTGGATCTTTATAAACTTAAAAACCTTATGCTTCTCATCTGAATTTGGGCTCAGCTCTTAAAAATGATTTTCCTGAGGTGAATAATGGAAATGTATTAAAAAAGATGTTTTCCAGCCTGTAAAGTCGGAGAGCTGCCTGAGTGTTTAGTTTTCTAATAAAGGAAATGCAAACAGAGGTCTGAGGTTTTACTGGGCTGAGGACCGAGAGCCGTAATCCACTCTGAAGTTGTTTTCCAGCCGTGGCGTTCAGGCACCTTTTGTGACTTTCTGACTGCAGTGGCAGCAGATTTTCAGAGTTCAAAGAGAAGCTTAGCGCCTCTCAAAGGATTTAACGGATTTACCGAACAACGCCTTGAGTCCAGGCCCAGGAAACAAAGAAGGTTTGTTGGTTTTCTTCCAATTAAATGTGTGATTCAAACACAGAAAATTAAATTTTTAAACAATAATAATTTCAGAACAACTTCGTATCAAACCCAAATGTCCCTTTCATCACCCAAAATAAATTACTGTCCTTCGAACTCCCAGCTTTTAGAGCATAAAGCAGAAACCTTTCAAATGCATCTTAAAGTCACTCAGACTGATCTTGACGCTCGTCAGCTCTCCTCCAGCCAGGAGGGGGCGTCAGCGCTGGCGGCGTTTAGATGTTCAACGGCCTGCTGCATGTTTTTCTCCAGGAAACTGTGACATGACAAGCAGTGAGCAGCGACGGCGCTGTGGAGCAGCCACAGCTGGTTGTGGAGGACTTTCACCTGCAGGCAGAGAGCGAAGCCACGGTTAACCAGCTGCTGTTCTGTCTCTAAAGGGATCCCGTTATGCTAAACTTGCAGGTTTTTCTGCTTCCATTTGAGTCTCTACTGATTCTAAAAGCAGACGAGTATTAAAAAAAACATTCAATAATTTTTGCGAATAAGGTTTTTTTTTTGGTGTCTGAAAAATGAGCAGTTTCAAAAACTATCGGAATGTAACGTCATCTAGCTGTTACCTAGCAACCTCTGTGGAATTGCGCTTGTTACCTAGCAACCCAAGCTGAGTTTGGACAGCTGGTTTTATCGGTGTACAATGGCTGCTGGAAAAGACAAGTGTTTTGTTGTTAACTTACCATCCAGAAACCACTGCCTGCATTCTTGTTGGTTGTGCAGCAGGCTCTACTAATGCTTTTCAAAGTTGTACGGTTTTATAATTGCATTTCTGTTTGTAGTCAGTTTCATGTGTGAGTGTAACGGTTAAGTCGAGGGGCGTGGCCAGCAGCAGCTCATTGGGATTTAAAGTGGCGGCGCTCTAAAACAGCTCATTCTGCTCAACACAGGCAGAACTGAGCAGAATGAAATTCCATCGAAAAATTATATTGTGCTAAAAAAGTAAACAGAAAGATTGAGAAACTGTCTGAATGGAAAACTGTACTTTTAAAAACAGATGGGAATGTATTCTTGAATATTTCAAAATAAAAGACCAATAATGTGAATCTGAATCATTTATATTTATATATAAACTGGTTACTTTTCTCATATAATTGCTGTAATTTATGTACATGCCTCCTGTTTTTTGTTATCTGTATCTGTGCTGTATAAGTTTTTCCTGTTATTGTTCTTTTAATTTTCTGTATAAATTTTTAAAATACCTAATAAACATAATATATATATAAAAAAGTAAACTGTTTTTCTACAGCCTGTTCTAGGAAGCCTATTGGGTCACCTTGAAAGTCATGGGTTGTTGGTTGTGTAACTTGTGTCATAAACAGAACCTTGCGCTCCGTCTCACCCTGTTCTCCTCCAGCAGCTTGACTTTGACGGACAGGTCGTCCCGGACCTTTTCGTACCGCTCCCTCTGGCCCTGGAAGGTTTTCTGGGCCTGCTCCAGCTTGGGCAGGGTGGTGGCGTCGCGTGGGCCCATGTTCAGCTCCTCCAGGTCCACTCGGTATGCGTCGTACTCGATCCTGGACACCAGAGGGGTGAACATGTTACCAGAGTTTTCAACCCTACGGCGCCCTCTGCAGGTCTGTGGAGTGATGCGCTGTGCCCACCTGGCGGCCTCGTATTGCTTGGCGTTGATCATGGTGTCCTCGATGGTTTTGTTCACCAGAGTGTTCATGTCGGAGGTGAAGGTGTTGATGGCCGACTGCAGGGTCTCTGTGCTCTTCGACAGAAACTTCTGAGCCTCGGCGTTCATGTCGAACTCCACCTGAGGTCACGATAGGATGATACGACGTCTGATATGATACAAGATGAAACAAACAAGTCTGACATATCGCAGTGCGTTCACTCCATGCTAAACCTGAACTCCAGTTTGTTTGGGGAGGTATGAATAATCAAACAGTTTCAGTTTATCTGTGAACGCCAAGCAGACCAGAGACCGTTCTAAAAGCAGGAAGAAACTACAGCGCAAGGCATTCTGGGTAAATACAACCAACCAAACACATGGGAGAAATGATTCAGTGTCTTTTACCAAAGTGAAAAGAGAAATCCCACAACTGCTGAAACTCTAGTCCATTTCTGTTTACATTTCCTGAAGAAGGAAGTTTTGCTACGGTTGCATTTTTGAAGGTTGATGGAAAGAGTCAAATTCAAAAAATGATTTTTTTGTTTGCTTGCGGTAGTTTCCCCACCGATAGAGGCCAATTTTCCTTTTTCAAATATTTCAAACGGTTGAATAGAAACAAAAACTCTGAAGTTTCCTTCAGTAGTTTCTGATGCAGCGCCCCCACAGGCGAGGAGAGGAACAGGTTTTTCAGTATGTTTGGAACCACACCAGCTGAAAATGTAACAAATGTTGCACTTTTGGTCCCAAATCAACCTGATTCTACTGGACTATCAGGTGTGAAAGCAGCCTAAGCAGAAAACCAGCAGTTTGCTGTGGATCCAGTGGATTTCCTTAAGACTCACGTGGAGGTTCTTGGATTTGAAGCTGAGCTCGGTGAAGGCGGTGGCCATCGACTTCTGGGTGACGGAGAACTGGGCGAACTGACTGGCCAGCGTCTGAGCCAGCTTGGTCATGTGGTCGTAGCGCTGCCGGTCGTCTCTAAGCAGCTCCAGGCGCGGCTCCAGGTCCAGGTCCACCGTCCGGGAGCCGCGGCCCATCCGCTCGGCCAGAGCCTGCCGGGTGTACTGCGGCGGCAGAGACGGCACCGTCAGATCTGGCAGCCGTGAGCGAGGCTGCTGGGTTAGGCTCCGCCCACCTTGTATTTGCTGATGCTCCACTTGCGGACTCGCTCCAGCTTCTCGCTGGCCAGGTTCTTGTTGAAGGCCTCGATGACCACAGGCCCACCGTTGGGTTTCTGGGGAGAGACCGTCACCTCTGGAGACACAGGAGAAATCAGTTTTCCTTTTTAATTTTCTTACATATTTAAATTTCTGTCATGACAGTGCCTGTCACAATAAACATTAAATCAGTTAATCGAATGATGAATTACTGAATCAATATCAATAAACGATAATATTGATGGTTCGAGACCATTTCCCAGTGATAACATGGCTATAGTAAAATAATGCAAAGACTTTATTAAAACTTTAAATTCTAAAGAACATTTAGAACTGGAAGACATTTTTAATATCCAAAATAAATAAACAGAAACTACAAATAAAATAAAGTCTCTGTAAACAAAACTGTCCTTCAAGAAAAGGACGAGTTGAAACCTAAGAACCAAACAGAAAACTTTTGTCATCCAGTTTTTGGCAGAAAAAAAAACCAAAACAAAAACAGTGACCTTTACCTGTGTTTTCATCCGTTTCCACGGCGACCTCCACTGAGGTCGAACCGTCAGTCGCATCTTCACCTGAGTGGTTGGAGTTACTGTTAGCTTCCTGCAGGGAGAGGAAACAGTTTATTCATCAAACCATCACTTAGTCCTGAACACAAAGTTCAACACATTTTATGGCAAAAACAACAAAAAGTGGAAGATTATTTTGAAGTATTCAGTTCAAGTTTATTTAATAACGTTAAACAATGTTTAAAAAAAAAAAATAAAAACAACCAGCGACTGCACTGAATTACTGAGTATTAACAAGAAAAACATGAAAACTAATTCTGTAAGGAAACATTAGATGCCAGAAAAATGAAACAACCATTTCCAGCTATGAATCCACATTTCTTCACTGTTCCAGTCGTCACCAGTCACCTCCAGGCTTCCCGCTGCCTGACCTTTACGACCCGGGGGTCGTCACAACTGTCATCCATATTAGATGAAGCTACTCCAGTTGTCTGAATATTGCTGCTGTTACTCAGTTTGTAAAAACTAAAATAATAAAGCCAAAATAAAACTGAAATACTTAAGATAAACATTTTTATCTCAAATTATTCTCTAAACTTTAATTTCAAACTGTTTCTGAATGCATCACGACCCAGCATAAAGAAGTTCAAGGGTCACAAAGCCAGCTAATCGAGTTAGCCCAGATCAAAACCTATCAGGGCTGCCATATTGGATATCACTCCCTGCTCCCATCAGCTTGGGTCAGAGAGGTCAGAGGTCACAGGAACAGCCACTTGACACAGATGTTGGTGCAGGAGGGTGAGGTCGGTCCTCACAACAGCAGAGAGACTCAGCGCTGCTGCGTCGCATTAAGGAGACGGAGAAACGCGTGATGACGCAGAACGAGCCCTGATGCGCGCCTCAGCAAAGGTCACATCAAACTGTTCCCTGGAAACGGACTTAAAACGCTCCGTCTCATTGGTCCAGACTGGTCTCACCTTTAAGTCCACGTCGTCATGACGTCTGTCCTCTGGAGGCATTTCCTCTTCCTCTGTGGTGCTGGACGCCGCAGCAACGTCTCCGTTCTCCTCTGAAGCCTCCATCATCTTCTGAAAGCCTGAAGAGAAAAACAATCAAAGTTTAAAACTTTTAATTAAAGGTCTGTTACTTTCTGCCTCCTCTGTAAAATGCCTTAAATAAATGTCATCTGCTTAAAAATAAGACTTATGAGATCAGAATTTTGGTCATTTTACTGTTTCGGGCATCAGGAGTAACTTCAACCAACTTTAATTTCTAATTTTTAACTCGTTTATTTACCAAATAAAGACTAGAATATGTGACAATAAATGTGAATTAATTGAAGCACAAGTTTTGCTTCAAGAACAATTTGTAAAAACAAAACATCTGCAGCAGTGGTTTGTTTTATATTTTAATCAATAAACTGACTCGTGACTCATTCAGGAGTAAATTATTTACCTCATTTCTGTGTCCAATCCCATCATTCATTTTTCTCAAACATCATGTTATGTCTCCCTCTGCTGGTCCAAAAGCTCATCACAGCCACGTCATAAAACCATCTAATGGCTTTAAGCTGGTAAACACAGAGAGGCACCATCCCCTGCAGTTATGATGCATTAAACCTGCTTTCTTGAGCAGGACGGATCTGAGGCAACGTCTGCACCCTGGGTGTCCAATATGTGGTGCCGGGGCCATTTGTGGCCTGCAGACTCACTTCCTGCTGACATTTTGTTGCAAACCTTTATAATAAGTTGATCCTCGTTTATCCAGAGACTTTTACTGAAAATCCGACTTTGCTTCACTCAAATTAACTTTCATATGATTTAAATCCTGCTTGTATAACAAAATTAAATTAGTCCAACCAAACCTGAAAGAATATGGAAATGATGTCTCTTTTTAACATAGCAAACATTGAAAATTCTTTATAAATTTTGGATCTATGCTGACTTTTTTTTCTACAAAAAGAAAAACAAAACTCAGACTACTTTATTTAAATTTTATTTGTTTGGCCCATGTCTGCAGCTCCTGTCTTTGCTAATAAAACTTTATATAGGCCGAGTACAAAGTGCACAGATCTCATCTTTGACAACTCAGAAGGCCGACCTTTGACCTATCCCGATGGATCACATCTATTGTTACTGGGCAACTGTGTGTTGAAACATGAGGTTGCAGCATAAAAGCACGACAGGAACAAACTGAGGCCTGGAGGTATGTGATCTACTTCTGTTTATGATAAGGAAAATGTTGCTACTTCCTCTCGAGGACTTGTAATTTACTAAAATATGAAACATGCAGAGCAACAGGTGACTTTATGATGAACTTTTTGCAGAAGTCCTGAATCAACCAGTCATCCTCCAGACTTCCTTGTAACAATCTGCAGAATAATCTCCAGTGTTTTAAAGTTGTTTTTTTTTACAATAATCTTGCAACTTTTAAGCTCCACAGAGACTCACAAAGACTATCTTTAGATAAAGCTGCTAAATATGCATCATAAGACTCAGAAATAAGATTTGAAGACAGTAAAATTTTCCAGCATATTTGAATGAAGCATAAAAACAGTCCGAGTCCCTGATGGGTGTGTTCGTTTCCAAGATCCCCACAAACTTTAATTCACTGAAAACTGAGCCCCAGCAGCGGCAGATTGACCGTTATGACCGTTAAAAATAAAAATCCTCTCTGTGGCATTAAAGCAAAACCACAAAACATTTACGAGCTTTTGGTGTTTTTACCTGTCAACAGAAGCGAGCGCTCCTTCTTTCTTCCTCTTCAACTTTCTCTCTGGTTATTTCTACCTCTTTGCTGACTTTTATTCAGTAAAATGATGACAGAGTTTGTCTAAAAAGTTATCGTTGAGACTAAAAGTGGTGAGAAAAGCGTCCAACAAGTCTCCCGGAAGTGACTTCTGAACGGATTGTTTGGAGGAGAGTGTTCTGTTTTTCCTCCTGGGTGCACCGGAGGGCGGTGACGTTCCCAGGTCACTGGCGGTGCGTTTGGTTTTACGCTCTTTTTCTTCAAAAAACAATTCATGTCTCTTTTGTTACAAAGACAAATTAAAAGATAAACTGACATCAGCACATAATTAAGCAAATATTACAGAAATAAACAGTAGCAAATGAAATTATTAACCAAAAAGAAACTTTAAAGATGCAGCAATGTATTTGTTCCTACCTTTAATGGAAAACCGTCATGTTTACAAAATAAAGAGCTTCTTAAAATAAAAATATCTTCACACCAGGCAGGTAATATAGTAAATATCGGGAATGAAAACAAAATAAACATAAAAACAGTGGATTATTGCCTTCTCTTCCACCGCTTTTGACTTTGAAATGGACAGTTCTGTAATAGTGCGCCATCTTGTGGCTCGAACCCAGAATGCTCAGTCAGGAAATAGCAAGTCTCGCGATACCTCCTATTTTTACTACTGTCTCAAGTCCAAACAGAAAAACTAGCGGATAAGTCGGTTATAATCTTCGAAACAACTTTTAAACCCGGTAAGTTACTAAAACCGGTCTTCATAACTGTCAGATTGTAACATTTCTAACATTTAACGTCATGCAAAGTGTTTTTTTAATCACATTTAGGCTGTTCGGGATTAAGTTTCCTGGTTTTGACAACAAATTAACTATAAGCGTCTGAATCTGTTAGTAGAGAGTCAGTTTATTACATTTGGCTGAAACGTCTGATAGTAAATATAACACATTTAAAGGTTGATGCATTATACATGTGAAACATGCATTAACATGTGTAACATGGTAATGCAGGTGTTTTACCTTGAGTTTGTTCTGTGGCAGAAAACTTAGAATTTCATTTCAAAGTTAAAGTTTATGAAAGTAGTTCAAAGCTTTAGAAAACTTTTTCCAATTTATTTAAATGGGACAAAAATATAATAACAGGTGCATATTTTAAAAAGGCCTTACCATTGGTTCTGTTCAGTTATTGTATTGTCATTGCAGATATTGTATAAAAGTCTGGCACTGCTTTAATTTTCTTATGTTTTTTACAGCTTGCAGAAAATTATAATTAGAAATCAGATTCCTTTTGTTTGTTCCTTTAGGGGATCTTGTCATTTTTCATCAATATTAAGGAAATATTGACTTAAAAGAAGCTCAAATATCTTTCTGAAGAGTTACTTGTTAGTTTTGACTTATTTTAAGATATTTGCAGTAGAAACTAGACTAAAATCAGTAAAGCTTTGTGTTTTTGCAGTGTATGAAAGTGAGGAACTTCAGCTGCCGTTCGTCTCTTTCTCTCTGTTTTATGTAAATAAGTGTTTATGCAAACTTCTCTGGTTCTTTAGGAAACAATGAGGCCTGTGATGATGGTGGAGCGGCGAGGAAGATGAGGGGGAACCTTCATCAGCTGACGTTTGGATCCACAGAGGAAACATCTGGAAACATCTGGAAACGCTGCTGCAGGTCGGGAACGAAGGAAAAACACATTCTACTTTATTCTGATCTATTCTACGTTACTCTGGTCACATCAAATCTGATTTTATTCTCTCATCTCTTTTCTCATCAGACTTTATCTGATTATATTCTCATCTATCTAGTCTAATATGTCTGAATTTTATTCTTAATTATTCTAATTTATTTAATTTTCATCTATTGTATTAGTTTCAGTTCTAATCTAATGTTATTTATTGATTCAATCTGCAATTTTTTATGATTTTATTTATTCTAACTTGTGATTTTCTCTCCCTTCTTCTTATTTTTGCCTTTATTGAGTCACAAGGAAGCAAATTTTACAAAACATTTCCTCACAATTCAATGCTTAAGAAGTTAATGGGAGAGCTGTGTAATAATAACACACAGGGAAAGATTACAATGTTTGAAATATGGAATAGAATAATGTGGAAGAAAGGAAATAATAAACAAACAAAAACATAATAATTACACAGTTATTTTATTACTGTTGTTTTCTCATCTTCCTCTTTTCCTGCTAAAGTCTGACATGTTTCTGTCATATTGAATAAAAATAGCCAATTCTTTTTAATCTGTAAACACTAATTTAAAATAATTAAAATATTTTATTGACCTTTATTTGCTGAATAAATCTGCTCCAGGCTCTGATTCTCAGCAGATTGTCCAGATTTACTGCATATTCTCATATAATGGTAAATAAACTTGTAATCTTTTCTGTTCTAGTCGACAAGCCAGGAAGTTTTTTTTAGTTCTGTTTGTCAGTCAGATTCATAGAATCAAAAGTTTCTGATCGGATGAAGAAATAAATGTTTTTATTGTTGCTTTCCTCTTTAATTTGCAGCCTGACTTCCTGAACAAAAGACCAGATTAATCCAAACAAAAGCAAAACTCTGAACTCTAATCCAGCTTGACGTTTTGTCTTACAGGCGCAGAGATGTAATGTCAGGAAGCTTCCAGAAGATGGCAGAGTTTTGATAGTGAGTAAATAAAACAGAACTAAACCAGAGGAAACATGTTTACCAGAACCAGAAACATGACTAAATTAAAGCTGCAAGCAGCCTCGAACGGCCCTCGCAGCCAAGCGCCGCTCCGGCCTATTGCCACCGCGGGGTACGAGCAACCGCCGCCTCACGCCAGCCACCACAGAAGCTCTCACGCAGTTTTCAGCTCCTCCGCCCGCACCGCGGAAGCTGTTGCTCAGATTCCATCAACGCTGGCCACGTGCTAACACAGAAGTTGTTGTGCAGTTTCCGTGCCCGTCCACCAGGCGGTACGCACTGATGCGTTCGGAGGCGCTCCTTGACGATGCAAAAAATGTGGTGCAGATTCATTGGTTTAGCGAGGAAATATAGCTGGCGGATTAATGTAGGACGCGCAGTGGAGTCAAAATATATTTCAATGCTGTTGTTCTCTTTAGAGGTCAACAAAGGTCATACGTATCCAATTTGGCGTCAGTGGGATGATCCACGTGACATTTACAGCCAATCTTATGCACATAGCGAAGTACTACAGTTCGTCATTTTTCATCATTTTCAGCTGTGTTTCTAAAGCACTCTATTTCATTGTTGGAGTAATACTTACTCAGAGTGGCGAATTACTGAAATGGTTTGTAAGAAGTAAGAAAACGCTACATTTACTGCATGATTTAATTCAACAAAAATTATCTGAGACATTTCTATCCTTTTAGAAATGTCATGGCAACACACTCACAAAGTTTTCACGCCCATCCGCCGGATCTGTTTATCATCGGTGGAGGAACACTGACACCTACTGGCGAAATACTGATATTGTTCTTCATCCTGATTATCTGCTGTTTCATTTGTGGAGCAATACTGACCCCAAGTGGCGAATTACTGAAATGGTTTATAAACGGCAAAAATGGGATCAAAATCTGAACTTCAATCTAAAATGGCCGACTTCCTCTGGGGTTTAGACCATGGCTCCAAGAGACTTTTTTGTAAGTCCTGACATGGTACACATGTGTACAAAGTTTCGTAATTGTAGGTTAAAGCATGGCTTGGGGCTGATCATTTTAAATTTTCTAGGGGGCGCTATAGAGAAATTGGGCCACACCCTACAAATATTGTGATGGATTCCTGTCGGGGAGTGGATGAAGATCCATCCTTGTGAGTTTGGAGCAGCTGCGCCCAAAAATGTGGAATTGAGAGCCAAACGTATGGCGATGGCGTTACAGGACACTTCGCCACGCCGCCACGCCCACCTGCTCCATCGTAGCTGGTCGGGATTAGAATCCTCAACACACCAACATGGCTTCTGTGTCTGGGCACAGTTTCATGTTGATGAGGTCAAAGGGGTCAGATAGCGACCTTTCACAGTAAAACATTACACTTCCTGTTCTCAGGGGGCGTGGCCTAAGTGATGTCATCATTCGACCATACGGTATTGTAGGACACCCGATGATGATCAATCACAGTAACTTTGGTGCCTCTGTGAGTTTCTGTGTAGGAAATATAGCAGTTTATGTTTTTATGGCGAGTAGGTGAACTTTGACCCCTGCTAACCCTCCTTCAGCATTCTCAAAAACTCACCGTTTTGATAACTTTAGATGGGACATGCCTTATGAACAGACTGACCGAGTTTGAAGCCGATCAATCGAAATCCCTAGGAGGAGTTCGATCAAATACGGAGGCTGTAAACGGCAAAAATAGGGTCAAAATCTGAACTTCAATCTAAAATGGCCGACTTCCTGTGGGGATTAGACCATGGCTCCAAGAGACTTTTTTGTAAGTCCTGACAAGGTACACATGTCTACAACGTTTCGTAATTGTAGGTTAAAGCATGGCTTGGGGCTGATCATTTAAAGTTTTCTAGGGGGCGCTATAGAGAAATTAGGCCACGCCCACCAAATATTGTGATGGATTCCTGTCGGGGAGTGGATGAAGATCCATCCTTGTGAGGTTGGAGCAGCTGGAACAGAAACTGTGGAATTGAGAGCAAAACGTATGGCTATGGCGTTACAGGTCACTTCGCCACGCCGCCACGCCCACCTGCTCCATCGAAGCTGGTCGGGGTTGGAATCCTCAACACACCAACATGTCTTCTGTGTCTTGGCACAGTTTCATGTTGATGAGGTCAAAGGGGTCAGATAGTGAAAGTTCACAGTAAAACATTACACTTCCTGTTCTCAGGGGGCGTGGCCAAAGTGATGTCATCATTCGACCATAGGGTATTGTAGGACACCCAATGATGATCAATCATAGAAACTTTGGTGCCTCTGTGAGTTTCTGTGTAGGAGATATAGCAGTTTATTTTTTTACGGCGAGTAGGTGAACTTTGACCCCTGCTAACCCCCCTTCAGCATACTCAAAAACTCACCGTTTTGAT